CGGCCCAAATCCAGTTGGAACATCTGTCACCTCCGCAGACCTGATAGGATCTGCAAAAGCTGTCGCCCCATGAAGTCATGGTTCTCCGCCCCCTTCTCGATCAGGCCGTGGAGACCGGCAATCTTGAGGTGATCGTGTAGATGGGAGCGCTCGGTGGCCGGTAGCCGCCGAGCTTGAGGCTAAACAGCTTGAGCCAACACAAGAAGATATGTATATCTGTACATATATATGTGACACTAGTGACACTACGTGCAAAACTTAACCACTGTCGGGATCTGTGGATCTGTGCAGAACTTAAAGTCCCAAGACTATTTGGCACTTTGCCCCTGAACTAACGCCGGCCCGCTTTTCATACGGAAGAACCGATCTGCAGAAACTCCTGAGAGACGGGCAAATGCGGACACCAGCAGCCCAGCCGGTTTCAGTGACCTGACAAGCAAGGGAAGGATGCTACTAGTAACAGGTGCCACGCTAGTAGTAACAAGTGCCTTACTGGTAGTAACAAGAAGCTACTAGGAACAAGTGCCTTACTACTTCTTCATACATCTTCAGACGCAATCGAGACTCGACCACAACCAAAGTAGAGGAGCACACAGGTGGACCGTTGAATAGCGAAGTCACACAGCAACCTTGCATTACCGGGCCACCCTTCACCTACTGTTGTTAGGACTTAGGAATTATCGTTGTCGTCTCGATACGAATTCATCTGCGGGGCCTCTTTCTAGCCGCCAGTGACATGTAGGCAGTTTGTTGTGTTGGTGGCTTGTTTGCTTGATCCGCAGTGCTGGTGACTTCATGCGGGAGCCAACAGTCCTTGACTTTGCTTCGAGAAAGCAAGCCGCAAACATGGCGTGTCGCATCTACGAGTCCTACTTGGTCTTGCTTGGTTTGAAAGTGGCTTTCTGTGATTTGTGGGGTATCTTGGCGTGTGAGGAACTCATAAAATTATGACACCCAGCGGACAGGCAGGGCTGCAGCGAACTGTTTGACAGTCGGACAGCATCAAGTCTGATGCCACAGCGGTCGGTCCGGTCAGAGAGCCTGGAAGACCTTGATGAGATCGTTTTTCTCGATTTTTATTTGTGCCTTTCCAAGGAGCGAGCGATTTAGACCAAAAGCAGGATTGGCTCAAATTTGGCAACGCAACCAAACACGATTGAAGCATATCTTCAATTCAAGCATGTATGTTGTCCTCTGGATCAAATGGCATTCATTGCGTTGAACTGTTTTGACACCGTGCTAAGGGAACAACACAAATCTCCATTCGGCAAACAATGGCAAACACACAACCTCGTCACATGTAATGACGTGAAAAAAGCGCATTGGAGTAGTGCAATGGCCTCATCCCCATCAGTAGGGGTATAGGGATACAAGGCAACCCTCACCTGAGAGAGAGAGAGAGAGAGACACTGTGAATTCGCTATGCGTACTATATACAGTAACTGTGTTGACATGACAATCATTGACTCATTTTCTGGAAGCAACAGTACACGGCATTTCACACGGCATTTTATGGAACACAGAAATGTTTAGAACACAACTAGGGCCACATACCTCGCACTCATCTTTATTCACAGTCACGGTGCCGTCAGCCTGCGCCACCTGCACGTGGATTCGAAGAAGTCTCTATATCTATACATATATATATATCATAGATATACACTGTACACTCTATATATCTATATATATATATGCCCAAGAACAAGGCCTTGGACTGCGTGACTTTGCCAATTTGAACTATTGTGTCTTAATCAAGAACCCCTTCATCTTGGAGGAAAAAAACAAATACTTTTACTGCAGCTTCCCCTTTCCTCTCGGGGAATAACTGCCAACACTCTCAAGAGAAATCAAACCAAGCTGACCCAAGAGTCACCACCCACAGGTGGCCTTTGGCTCTGCACTGACAGAATCCTCTGGCTCAGGCTCGGCCCTCGGTGTCATCGACCACAATACAAAGAAAATCAATGAAAAAACAGCTGTCGACAAGCCGGTCAAAGCTCAACAAGCAAAGAAGGAGCTTTCACCAGCAGTCAAAACTTCGATTTCACTGGTGGTTGCATTGTAGCTTTCCAGCAGCACTCAGAGCGCGCGACTTCACCATCAATCAAAGTGCACGACTTTACCAGCGGCGACAGCATACCACTTCACGAATTGTGAGACTGTAGCTGTGCCGCTTCACCAGCCAACGATTGAAACATACCACTGGCTCACCAAGAGAAAATAAAAGGAACAAAACACTTCATCGCCAGTGAAGAAGTACCCGTACCTTCAACATGCACTGCTTGGAACATACTACTTCACTCATGAGCTTGTCCATCTTTCCAGTGGCAAAGACCTTTCTGAGTTCAGAAGTAATTGAGACAGTACCAAAACACCTGCGCCTTCACCGGCGTGCAACCTTCCTGGTTCGGTCTGGCAACGGCAACGTGCAGCAACCGCTCACCTGCCGCGTGATCCAACGACTCACCTGCTTCGCAGAAACCTGTGTGTTAATTCACGCATATTCATGCACCACGTGCAGCTCCACTTCGGGGCATCTGGACACAAAAACCGCAGGAGCCCAAGCCAACATCACGACAACAAGACCAAGGCACTTCTCCACGCGGCTGTGCTGTCGTAGGATTTCCACAGGAGGTTGCGCATCACTACACAAGCTTACGAGTCTTTCGATATACATGTTCACAAATTTCACTCAGTCACTGCACAAAAGTTGATTGCACAACTGCAGTTCGTGGGGGCCATCTTTCAAACATGTGCCCTTGCGAAGAGGGTATGAAAAAAGGCATTGCAGGGCATGGATGAATCCAAGCAAAGACGAAAAGAAACTCATCGAGTCGTGCTTTTGGAGGTACCTGCGTGTTTCTTTTGGAGAACCCAAAAAGCCAATCTTCATGAAAGCGCAGAGGAAAAAGCAAATTCCTTGAATTTTGCAAGAATGATTGCATGGTCACTCTGAGAGCAGGGCTCATATTGAGATGTACTGTTATCGTTGGATATGATGGCATCTGCACCTCTACAGGATCCGTTCATCGGTGCAGCATCATGTCTAAGACGACAGGTGTCCAGTCCCACTGCCATATCACCAGCCCCTGTCTTTCCCTGTTGTGGTGACTCACACTTTCCAGCAGCAGCAGCAGCAGCACCACCAGCAACATTATTGACAGTATTATTGTTACTATTATTCTTATGATTGTCATCATTGTTGTTGTTATTACCGCGCCAGAGGTCATGTTCTTTGACCAGGAGGCAAGCGCAAGCCTTTCTCCACGGCTTGGCTTCTACCTGTTTTAACTGAACGGAGGTTGGCATCAAACTCGTTGCACCTTGCTCCGAACTCTCCAACCTGGCAGTGGAACTGTGGTCCAAAACAGATCCTCCGGTGGGCCGATGTCGACCACTGATGCTCGAGAGGGGCGTTTAACACAGCTTCAGGTTGCAAACTGGTCTTGTCGCAGCACCGTGGTGTTGGAACAACAGGAAAGATAAAATGACAAAAGGAGCTAACAACCAATTCCAGCAAATCCCTGTCCGTGAATTACGGCTTAGTTCCAACATGCGAAAAGTGTTTTGTGAGCCAGGGTGGCAGGGACTCTGAATATCATCAAATCAGTAGCAATCCACTGAGGCGATTGGGTTCCATGAAAAATATCTGGCCATGCAGCCATGCCCCGCTGGTATCGTATCCGAGACCCTTCAAAACTTGCCAGCATGGCTTGAGGAAGTTCTCAACTGCACATTGATGAGACATGTGCTCCTTGCAAGTGTGATGCATACAAAGAAACAGTCAGCCGGGAAGACAAACACCATCAGTGGAGACAAGTTCACATACCCGAAGGAGGCAGCAAGCAAGTGTACTACTGTAGTTTTAGATATAGTCAGTTAAGTTCATGACTCTTGTGGCATGACAAACAAACCAAATTCTGAAAGTCAAACAAAGCTGCCAGCCTCGTATGCAGTCGGCGGGCCACTCCAACGACAAGAGATTCCTGGCGACAAATGAGACTCGGGAGTAGCGGTTGGTGACGTCTGGTGACCGTGAATCTGGATGTGTCCCTTCTGGCGCCGTGGATCGAGGAATCACCCAACCCGCTGGTAAGCCACCAATGAGTTGCCGGTGAAAAAGGCAGCGTTTCTACTGAGCTCGGTTTGTTCAAGGTTCTTGAGACCCCCACGTCAAACACATGTGTCAGGATTGTCAGGTAGTACAGTATCAGAACAATCAAAGTCGGGGAGTCCTACAAATATGTTTGTTTGCCTTGTCCTCCTTCACAATACGTTCTCTTTCAGCATTGTGAGTGTCGCTTGGCAACATGTTTGTTGACAGGATTTGTTGCATGGTACAAGCTGTGGTATTTCTGATGTTCTGGCTGGTTTGGCTCTGCAGGAGAGTTCCTTCAGATTATAGATGCTTAATAGATATTATATAATATATAGATGATGGATTCTAGACTCTTTCGATGCCCCACGAAATGTCACTTCCATGCACCTCAAAAACAAAGTACGGAAAGGCGGAGGGAGGATTCAAGCGGTACAAACATTTGCAGAAAATACGATCAAATCCGCGTGTTGTTGCAAATCCATTCAATCCATGCACACCCTAAAAAAGTATAACAACCGGTCGACATGGAAATGAGTGAAAAGACCCTCCCACCCTAGGCGACTGCACAACAGCATGATATGATCATCTCCACACAATTCGGAAAGCCCAATCAGACTAGTACTGTACTTCGGTCTGTGTGTCTTCTGGGAACGCGCCTTGTGCGCAGGCGTGCAAGTGAATTTGTCCCTTTGGGAGACTGGAAAGTCCGTGCTAAAGATTGGGCTGAAACGTTCCGCCAAAAGTAGCTTCATGTTACTAGTAGTGATGCTAGGAGCGCTAGTGGCTTCTTGCCTTCTTGCTCCCAGTAGCGATGCCCTTTGTTCTTAGTAGGCTGAAACGTTCCGCCATGCAAGACGCGATGCTGATTCTTCGCCAAGGCGTGAAACGAACTCACTCAGATTCACTCAAAAACACGGGTGTAGATCACAATGAACTCGGGGTACACAGCCTCCTCCTGGAAGAAGACCATCTCACGGAAGGTGCCTACTGCTTTCAATCGGTCACCACACACTGAGTCGAAGCCTCCTGCACGAACTGCCTGCAAAAAGGGCAGCTCAAGACCGTGAGTCCTTGAATTATTGACTTGTGTCTATGCATCATTCAAATCCATATTTTCCAAAGAACAAAGGCTCAAAAGATTGGAGAAATGGCAGGTAGCTTGATAGTTTGGGTGCAGTGTCCCAGGCGGCCTAGCCCTTACCACCCCTGCCTCCCGCGTATCTCTGGCTTCGGGCACGGTCAGAACCTGACCTACAGCACAGCGGCAAAGCAGGGTGGCGCACAGACCCAAGTAGACACCAGAACCTTCCTTGGCGTACCTCGCAATGTCCGGCAGCGAAATGCTGTTGCTGTTCAAAGAGTTCTGCACAGAACAAGGATTTCTACATACGTTACGTTCCTGCAGCTGAGGGCTGAAAAGCTAGACACCAGTGATAAAAGAAAAAACATTAAAATTGTCCCGGCAAGAGACCCCAAACAGTGTGTGTGTGTGTGAAGTCTAGAGGTGTAGCAGCAGAAAGTCTAGAGGTCTAGACGCATTGGGGTCCAGAGAGGTGATGGTGGTGATGAAAATGGAGATCGTGGTGATGGTGGCTGTGGTGGTAAGTGTGTGTGTGTGTGAGTGAGAGTGAGAGAGTGAGTGTGTGTGTGAGTGAGTCTGAGTGAGTGAGTGAGAGTGAGTGTGAGTGAGTGAGTGTGAGTGAGTGTGAGTGAGTGTGAGTGAGTGTGAGTG